TTAAAAATCATTCACAATTAGCTACAGTGGCATCTGCCTTAATTGATAATGTTTTAATCGATACTTAAATATCGTGAATAGTTATCGATTTTTTGAGCAAAACTCGACACCCGCGCTGTATATACGGTCATTTAAAAAACAAAATGAAGTCTCTAGCTCTTATATCTTCTGAAATCGACGCGTTCAACATACGGACAGACGGATAGGGCCAAATGGACTCAGCTCGTCGCCCTGATTAAGAATATATATACTTTGTGGGGTCTGCCACACTTCCTTCTGCCTGTTACATACATTTTGACAAAACCATCATACCCTGATTTTCAATTTTCAATGGGTTCAGGGTATAAAAAGAATGTGAAGTAAAACGGCTCATCCTTTAAAGTTATTGCCATGAAAAATAGATGTTACCAATTCTCAAACCTACCCAGCTGCACACATAATTTCAGTCGAACCGTCTCAGAGGAGTTTGGAAACAAACACAGCGACACGAGAATCTTTTAAATAAGATTCTTTTATATACTTATATCTTGGGTTTGTCTGTCTATGCGAATACCTTTGCAAAATCTATAACAGATATCGAGGGATAAAAGGGAAGAGAGTGGGAGACCCGGTAGCTTATATGTTAAGATTTGACTTTTGTGCGTAATGTATTGAGTTTCTTCCTCAGAAGCAGGCTCATTTTTTACTCCACCACTGGCTCCTCGCGTTCCAGTCATCTCGTATGATATGAGCATTATCTGAGGATTGGAACAGATCATGGAAATCGCATTTAGTCCAGCTTTGTTGTGGTGGGCAGTAAACAGTGAGACCGCTGCACATTGGGACCGCTCAGGAATTGGAGCATACAGAGTATAGTGCCGGAGGCTAATTTTAATAATTATTACCACACCCCTCTTCGCCTGATAGAAGGATGGTTGGCCACATAAACAGTGTACCCTGAGTTGATAAAGTGGTCTCCGAGAAAGAGAAAGAAAGTAACTGAGAGTAGCGCAAGAGCACGCTAGAGAGCGTATAAATTGAATAAGAGAGCGAGTTCATGACACCCATAGAGATAGAGAAGGCAGAACGCATAGCTGAGTAAAGAGAGAATGTCAGCGACGGTGAGCACAAATATTTATTGTTTTTATTATCACAAATTTTAACAATAAATACAAACGATTCTAATATGATCAGAAAGCTGCAGCAAATCCACCTTGTAAACATTCAGCCTCTTTGTGGATATCTTATTTTAAAAACTGGTTTATAAAAAAGGGTAAAAAGACGCATACAATATTTTATGTATAAAGATACATGATTGTCCCGTTCGAAAAAGAAACAGTGGAAGAAATCTGCACGAATTTGAGTAAATGCACTGTATATAGGCAACCGGAATTCAGACAAACCCCATTCTCAAAAGTGTTCCGGCAGATCAGTAGTGTTAGTTTGGCTATTTTCTTCGTGATCGCGGAAAATACCAAAAAATAGCTGCTGAGTTTTTTTTTTATTATATATTAATTCATTCAATGTCAAAATTTTATATTTTTTACAGATAGCTTAGTGCAAAAAAGGTTTCCTTATTGCCTATGGGTAAACTTTTCTGTCACAACCAAAGAATATTAAAATGCTGAAAATAACTTTGTATCTATGTACACGCAAATATACAAGCAAAAAGCCAGATGCTTGGATACTTCATTCGCAGCTATCATCGCATTTTAATAAAATTCTCTAAAAAATATTGCAAGTTTAGCATTGTTATTGAAAACTTTGTTTAAGTTTGTTAGACAACACCACTTACTATCAGAAAACACATATGTAGATGGAAACAATTTTGGGATGGAGTTAATGAACAAAAGAATAAATGCAGGTACAAGAAGGTTTAATCAAGTACAATCCTTAGAACCCAAAACTGCCCACATATGTATGTATGTACTCACGCATAAGCATGTAATTCAGAACGACAGGCATTGCTTTAACTTCAATTTTTAGTCTAATAATATAAGTAAAATGCATTGGTATGTATAATTTTAAGGTTGATTTATATTAATATTCGTTTATGCGCGTCTCAATTTGAAGATTCGAAAGTACAACTTTATTTCATTGACTCATAGTATAAATTATACAAATACTACAGAGCAGAAACAGTAGTTTAGAATAATAATACGATAGTAGTACAATTGATAATTTGTTTGATATATATTTTATGGAGTAAGACATATAAGTAGATTAACACAGGCTAAAGCCAATATATTCAAAAACTTTTTTCAATTTTATTAAAATATTAAGATCCTTTTTTTATCGTTTTAAAAACGTAATACCGTAGGCATGTGTATTGCCTTTATAATTTTGTAATGTGTAGAGATTTAAATATCTGGCGCATTTTCTATATCAATTTGCATATATGAAAATATGCATGTACGTATATAGCTTGCAATATTTTCAGATGTAGCGCGCATTTATTAATAAAAAGTGGGTCAGTATTTACCAATCTTGAAATCATTATATTAGAAAAATTGTAAATAGAATATAGCGCAATTCGTTTCATTCAAATGTAGCTATATAACCTGATGAATGAGTAGATTATTTCTATTATAAATGTTAAGATATATTTTTCTTATGGTGAGCAGAGTAAAAAAGGTTTGCGAGATTTTGTATGCTGCAAGTAAATTGTAAATTGCTGAAATAATTTAGTATTGTTTTCACATAATTCAAATTTATCTAACTAAATATTTCATTTGACCTACACATATGATATTCACGTATGTAAGACGCCTTTAACGTTTTTTTCCCCTTGTTTATAGCTACATACATATATACAGTGTAGGTTTTAATTTTATATTATGTATTTCGAGCTATTTAAGATTATGGTAGCTGAATATGAAAAATTTAACTGAAAAGATATTAAAAAAGGGTAAACAATAAATCCATATCATTCTGATATGATCAAAAAAAGCGGATACTCGACTTATAAACATTCATCAGCCTCTTTATGGATATCTTATTTTATATGCATGTTTATAAAAAAGAGTAAAAAGACGCAAACATTAAATAGTTGCGTCCACATTGTTTGCTTATAATATGAGTAAATTTTGTAGTATTTTTTCGCAGAGGTAACATAATAGCTGCTCAATATTATATTATATATATATCTATATATAAATATATATATATAAATTACATATTATAGGACTTGAAAGGTGGAAGAGAAAACTTTACATATATGCTGCTTAGTACATGGAAACATTGAGTGATATTATCCATGTAAATATTTATTTCTTTATATATATAAGCCAAAGCAAACCTATTGACCTTACTTGTTTTGCTTTTGTGGTTTTTATAAATTAAAAAGCTTTACAAGATTGCATCTTACTTAAATAAGAGAAGGAGCTCAAGATGAGTTACAGAAGTGGCAAGTGGTTTTGTTAGTGTTAAATACATAGCAAATATAAGTCCAGTTTTGCCAGATTTAAGTATAATTTAATCTTTTTAAAGTTTAGCATTTTTTTAAATTTATATAATTAAGAGTGTAGGTTTAACTTTGAGACTTTGCACAGCATTTAATGTAAGTAATATACATTAAAATTTTATATAAATTGTAATATTTTATTTTAAGTCTTACAAAATTGAGTAAACATTTTTTTCTTTTAATAATAATACAAATTTATCAACTTATTGAATGTAAAACAGTTTCAAGTTATAAAATATTATGAGAATTCGTAAATTTTAATTGTGAAGCAATAAAAACACAAAATTATTAGATGTTAGTTTTCCGATTAAATGGTCTGAATTTTTCGCTAAGAGTATTCTGGTTGAAAGTTGGGATGGCTCTGCCTTTTTTTTTACTATTACTGTAGAGCGTATAATGAATCAGTCTTTGCGTGTCACAAGTATTAAATAAGTATGTGATACATAATTACAATAGAGTATAAAAACAACAAAGAAAATGATACATCAAGGTTTCGTATAAAGCTGCATATTTAGCTGCCGCAAACGGTGGCTACAAAGCTTGGCCAAGACTTATTTCTGTAAAAAATTGGATGTACATTTCTAGGGCGAGCTAAAAAATTTGACATTATCTATACAGTAAAGATTCCAACATGTTTTTTTTTTTGTTTTTTTTTTAATATGTTAAGAGCGTGAGATGCAAAGGTATTCAAATATGTAAAATACCAATAATGAAAATGGCCTATAATTTTATTGGTAAAAATTACAACAGAACTTTCAAATAATATTCTCCTATTTTTGAATGCATAGAAGGGAATAAAAAATATATAATTTGTAAATGTCAAGGAGTCGGAAGATGCATAATTTATTACTTACAGATTTTGCTCTTATTAAATATTAACCTGAATATAAAAATACATTATATTATATTATATGCATTATACATTTATATAAGTAGTTATGTGTATGCAATTCTTATTTAATTGTCTTTTAGTATAATGCACATCTGTTGTGTTAGCGGCAAGTTTTGCAAGAGCACAAACTTTTTAAATTAGTTTCGATTTTGGTTTAAGCTGATATCAGTAAACGTATTTGTGTGATAATTGATAATTTATTTGTTGTGTTGTGCTGCAACGTGAGGTGACTTATAAAAGTATTGCACAAACTCGGAGAGGCTGTAGACGGCGCCGGGTCCTTTACCAGCACTCATGCAAATAAAGTCGCCTAAACAATGCATGTTAGCTGAAAGATACAATATATAATTAGCTGTAGCTTGTAGATATATATGTTATGCTTATATGTAGATTAGTTTTTACTATTCGAAAGGATAGGTGGATATGATGGTGGCGGCTTAATCCAGCTACCATCTGGTCGGCGCATGTGCCTACGATCCGATGAGAATTCAATTAGATATGTATCAGCAGGTATGACTCTAAAAAATCTGTAAATATAAGAAACTTAGACTTTCATCAGGCTTTTGTATTATGAACTATCTACCTGTGATGCTCGGGTCGTAGAGCCAGATCTGACCGAAAAGTTTCAGTTACGTACTTATGAAAATATGTTGGAAACGGGAGTGTAGTATCCAAGTCATATACCAAACAGCGGTTTGGCAAGGGATTATGCATAAAGAATACATGATAGTCCTGTTCGCAAAGCATACATTTCGTATTATTTTAACAGTGTGTTAATTTTTTGGGGGGCAGCTTACCCATATCACTACTTGATCATCACCACGTCCAGCTTTTTGCCGCCATAGCGGAACAGTTCTGCCCTCATTTGATACGAAAACAGCATAGCACTTGCTTAACTCCTCAGGGCGCGTGCGCTGCACCTGCTCACATAATTTCCAAACGTTTTCCTCACTAAAGTTAAATTAAATATTTTGAATTATAAATTATCTCTTCGTCTGCGTCGGCCATCCAGATATATTTAAAAAAAAATTGTATCTTTCTAACGAAAATCTTAGACATAACATAACACATTATCATTTTTTGGTTTTGCAAGCAAGTGTATAGATATTTAATATGTGAGGGTGTGGAGGATCTAGTGGTAATATACGAACTCTTACGAAAGCACATTGTAAAAGCTTCACAAATTTAGATGTTGCCAACAGATGGCTCGCAACTCATTTACTGTGCAGAGAGAAAGCTTCAAGAATAAATATTGAGACAAAAAGAAAAAAAACAAGTAAGAAAGCTCTAGTCGAGACTGCTCGACTACGAGAT